CCCCCCCCCCCCCCCCCCCGCCACTACAAAAAGGAGGTGTACAAATTGGAGAGAGTCTAGCGGAGGACAACAAAAATGGTGAGGGGGGCTGGGGAACATGGTTTATTATAAGGAAAGACTGGGGGAATTGGTCTTATTTAGTCTAGAGAAGAGGAGACTAAGTGGAGACTTAATAGCAGTCTTCAACTACCTGAAGTGGGGTTCAAAAGAGGATGCAGTTAGGCTGTTCTCAGTGGTGGCAGATGACAGAACAAGGAGCAATGGTTTCAAGTTGCAGCAAGGAAAGTTTAGGTTAGACATTAGGAAGAATTTTCTTACTAGGAAGGCAGTAAAACACTGGAACAGGTGACCCAGAGAGGTGGTAGAAAGTTTGTCCTTGGGGGTTTTCAAAACCTGGCTAGACAAAGCTTTGGCTGGGATGATCTAGTTAGGGCTGGTCCTGCTTTGAGCAGGGTTTTGGACTAGATGGTCTCCTGAGGTCCCTTTCAACTTTAATTTTTTATGATTCTATGTGAGGATTTTCCATCACCCATTGTGCTATCATTTATATGGCAAAGTAAGTGTAAAATAGGGAGTACAACAATGATGATAACTCAGAATTTAGAGTCTGATTTTCATTTATGCTATAGCCTGTTTATGTTATTCTAACCATTTTAAATCCTTTATGCCATCAAAATAGTGTCAAATGTCCTGCATCAATGAATAGCAGGCCCATAATGCTTTGCACCTACCTTACAAAATGTAGTATGCAGGACAATGGGAAATCTAGCCTTTGGTGGCATGGCCTGTAATCTAGTTTGCTGGCCACTGGAGAATGGGTAGGTTGAAGTGAGCATTCAGTCATTATGTACTCCAGGTGGCAAGTGTGTTCTGCTCCTTTCATTGACCTATAGGTGAAATTCAGCCCTTTGACTAGGCTCCAAAAGACCTATGATCCCTTATTTTTCGACTAAGAATATAAGTAGGTCTTAAGTGGGAAACAGGTGTTGTGCTGGGCCTTTAAGCAAGGGCAAAGAGTGAGTGCTGTACCAGACAACCCAATGGTAGATGCAAGGTGCATTAGCTATTGTACTTGCTGCCCTTCTATATGGAAATTAGTTGATAATGTCATAGCCTTTGATCATGACAATTAAACAAAGGCAACCACAGATGGTGGCAATAACTGGTGGGCTCAATGGCAAAGGCAACAAAAATAAAATTCAAAATGACTGGAAGGATGCTGGGTTTAAGTGATTAAATGAGTTCGAAGAAATGGCCATAATGCATGAGCAGGTATTAAAATCACAAAGTGTTTATACATGAAAATGTTGGATGAAGTGATAGGAAGCTGAACCTATTCCTGTAAAAATGTGCAAAATGGAACGGGGGTGACCTCAAATTCTGTGGTCCTCCCTCCTCAGTGCTGGCCTCTGTATTCTCTCCACATATCCATGTGTAGCTCCACGTAGACTTGCTAAAGAATCCTATCTGACAATATAAAGAAAGTGGTTTCCTTCTCATTTGCCTAGTCGGTTTTAGCATCATCATCATTTCATACCGTACAGGGTATTAATGATTTAAGCATCCAGAATCCTTGGATATTTTTACTTACTGATCATAACAGATACTGTGTTCACATTAGGATTGAAAGAGCAGCGTCCTTTTCCCGATTCACACTTTGAGTCGATCTTGAAGACTTGCTCCTGTAATATAGACACATACATCATGTCTAATTCTAAGAAAGCTTTGAAACTTAAAATTAATTCCTCAAGGAGCTTTTGTTTTGGCTTTTTCAACTAACAGTCTCAATAATGCTCAGCATTGTTGTTGGATTTAGTTTACTCCATGCAATAAAACTGTTATGATTAGTTTTCATTATTATTGTAGAATATATATTTTTATTTATGCCTGATTAACTTTCACTCATTTCAAATTCTAGGACTTTCTTAGATGTAAGCTGTTTCTACCTACCTTTTTTGAGTTATGTTATCTGACAAAACCAACACCAAGTTTATTTGTATGTAACAATGTCACAGTGGTTTTGTTCCTGTACTCATTGGGCATGTCTACATGTGCATTTATGCCAGCTTAAATTTACTGCACTGTTATTTACTGTGCAGTAAATGGGAATGAGCTGGCATGTACATGTGCAGGCATTAAAGTGCATTAATGCTGTGTGGTCTGAGTTGGGTCCAAAGTCAGTCCCAAGTCAGTGCACACACTATGCAGGTATCAAATTTACACTCAAGTTGGTGTAATTGCCATATTTACTGCGCAGTATGAGTGTGCACGTATAGACGTGTGCCCACGCTACACAGTAATTTTGGTTGCTGCACAGTAAATGCACATGTGTAGACATGTCTAGTGAATATCTGCTGCTAATTATAACTATATTTCAGCTAAACACATTTGCAATATAACTTCCCTCTGAATAACTCCCATAAAAATTTCATTAGATCTTTGCAAGCCCCTCAGTCATACAAAAGAAATCCTAAAGTATGCTCATCCACTTGAAAGCATCATTTTTTGTTTTACACTCAACATTATAATAGCAGATGTTTTATCAATATAAAAAAATGGTGGATGTCTCTTACTGTGGTAAGAGACTTAGGAAACGTGATTAGATGATGTATGATTTTTGTATATGCTCCACACAATAGTTTAATTTAAAATGGGTGAGGTGCTTGGAAGAGAGGGCCTTGAACAAAGGCAGTCTATTCTAGCCCTGCAATTTCTGATTCTATTACAGCATAAAACATAGTTCTCAAAAGCTCATAAGAAAACCAATACAAATGAGGTTTACATGATGTTGATCTCATTTCAGTGGAAACTAGATGGGGCCAGAAATTCATTACATCCTCTTTTGCTAATAAGACAAATCATCCTGTTACTGGTGTTTTCTCTTATTAGTGAGACAGGATGTAAAGAGGATGTTGTCGCAATACAAACCATTTATTGTTACTTTATATTTATATTTTTTTATTATTTTAATTCCATTTTAATTTAATTTAATTCTATACAGCTTTATCTATCCATCCCATTAGTTATATCCACTAAATATTTTAATCATGAATGCATCTCTTTATTTTCACAGTGTTTTAATGAATATGCAGTTTGACATGTATTCATATGTGCTATATACACACACACACACACACACACACGTATGTATGTGTGTATGTGTGCATGTATATATATATATTTTTTTTTTAAATAGAATATTGCTATTTTTCCTTATTGCATGTTCAATAATTACACATTTAACAAATGTACTGGCAGAACCACTAGAACCATATTAATTTTGTATATTCATGAAACTAATTTTTAATAATTTATAATTCATTCACATAACTGCTATTTGGTGCTTCTTGCAGATACTCTGACACAAGGGCATACTTGGTTCAGTTAACAGTACTCAGATTGTGCAGTTCATTAGCTGCTGTTCCTCACTCACTTGCAAAGAAGAGCCCAAACAAGGTCTTTATTTTATGAAGTCAAGAGGAGCATTTTTTCCTGGTTTGCAAAGAGCAATTTCCATTAGTTGAGTTGCCAAGATACAGGATCAGAAGATGAAGCAAAAAAATGTTTTTTACAAACTTTACTTCAGAGAAGAGGATTTAACTAAAGATGGCAAAGTTGTGCTTCTCCACTATGGATGCCCTCTTAGTACAATTGTGCAGCAGCCAAGAGAAAAAACAGATCTCCTAGGCTCTGGTTCTGACTGTCATGCTGAATGGTTCTTTATATAACTTCCAGGGACAAAACAGTCATGCTTCTTTAAAACAGCAATTTTACACCTGTGAAAATTGCATCACATTTGTAGGCAATACTGACATATTTGAGATGCAATAATAACATCTACTGTTTTTGAAAAGTTAAAAAAAGCAATTTCTCACTAGTTCCACCAGCACTTTATAATCCCTCACTCTCCTCTCCTAATTAGGCCTGCACGCGTATACGCAATAGACATGAAGGGATTTATTTTATTTGAGATCTGTACTCTGTGCTATTGTTGGTCTGGGCAGTAATAACTTTGCGAGCACAATGCCTACAGTCAAGTGTCTGACAGACTCCAGACATCGGAAACAGCAGTTTATTTAATCAATTGATCATAGGCATGCACTTACAAACATAGGCTAAATGAAACCAATTTTGTTCTTCCCAGATACATGTCTTTATTTCTAACTTAAGAATCTTACCATCTTGCTTCATCTAGAAAAGTCTTATTTCTCTTTAAAAGTTAAATCACAGCTATGACAAAATTTTAAAAAACCCAGAGACCTTCAAAATGGCTATAGGATATGGCCCTAGCACTCATGTTTTCTTTTTTATTAAAGGATATTATACTGATTCTTTCCCAAATAAGAACATTTTCAACTTTGAATTTAATTTCCTGATAAAAATTAATGCAGATTAATATAATTAGGATAAAGTAACTGAGAGTTCCTGAGTTGAGAGCAGGGGAACAGAATGCTTCTAGTGCCGAGAGAAATGGATTACTCTGTGATACGGGGGGAAGGATGTACTCATTCCACTGCTCTGTGTGCCTGTGTTTCTGCACGCAGAGTCCAGAAACCCCAATGATGCAAACTCCACTATGAGTTGGACTGCAGTGATTCAGCCTACAAGGGGCCCTAGACCTAGTTGGTGCTCTTTCCAAAATGGTTGGCATCTCTCCAAGTAGGGTGGCCAGGAGAGGCACTTATTTATCATCCTTCCTGGCAGTCCCTATTTCTAGGCTGGGCCCTGGCCAGAATGTACAATACAATCCTACTCCCATTAAAATAAGTGATCAGGCTGATTATAGTCTTGGAACCTGAAGTCCTCCTGCTACAATCCCAATAATGCATTTAAAGCTACCTTCCCATAGCTGTAAAATTCCAGGTTAGCACCATCTGCTCTTCCTCTTCAACACAACTGCTTCCCCATGTTCCAAAAAACGTGAACTTTACTGTGCCTGCAGGAGTAAATCTCAGCCAGATACCACAGCAGAGTCAGAACTCAGACAAGTGCTTTCTTTTCTCATTCTGCCTGTCCAATTTATTACCTATTTGTATTTGCAATGAAACAAGCATTTCTTATATGAATCACGAGCCCTGGAAAATACATTTATGAAACATCTGGGACTTTACATGTTTAGCCGACATAATGAAACAAAAGGCAGACAAAGTAGCTCAGGTAATAGTTCAAGAGTCTGCTTTTCAGAAGAAATGTTTTGGCCATTCACTATATCGTACAGTAAGTGGTGAATGATTTCAATTGTGGGGCAAGTAATATCTAGTCAGCCAAGTGAGGCCTGTGATACGTAGTATCAGAGTTAACTGATTTAGGTCAAACCAGTTTATGGAATTTCTGTTCCAGACCCCTTCCTGGTTCAAGTTAATTCACAGTCCCCCAGCATCCCAGCATGCTTTGTAGCGCTGTGCTGTGCTGTGCTGTCTGCTCAAGAAGAGCAGGATTGGCCCCGCCCCTCTCATTTCTAGCCAGAGCATTGAGAGGTAAAGAGACCCCATGACCCCCACCCCCTCCACTCCAATGGAGAAAAGTCTGGTAGGGGCTGCTCCACCTCACTAGGCAGATCAGGCTGCATCCCCAGATGGGTTTCCCACTCCACCCCCTTGCCAGCCAGCCCTCAATGCTCTGGCTAGACACCAAAGGGGCGGGGCCAATCCTGCTCTTCTTGAGCAGACAGCACAGCACAGCACAGGGCTGCAAAGCATGCTGGGATGCTGGGGGACTGTGAGTTAACTTGAACCAGGAAGGGGTCTGGGACAGAAGTTCCATAAACTGGTTTGACCTAAATCAGTTAACTCTGATACTACATTCAGTCGGGTTTATCTTAAACCAGTTTTGGCTATTTTGAAATGTGCAGTGCTTTATGTGCACTGCACTTCTGTTCTGTTACAAGTTTAAATCAGTTTCTGATCATTTAAACTGCTTTATGTGTAACTCATGTTTATAGCCTAAATGAAAGTTTTACAGAAATAGGAATTGCAGCCTAAGGACTTTAGGTTTCAGACCTACAGAAACCTACATCTGGCCTGACCTTCACGGGTAGTCAATCTCATCAAATAAGTGCTTGAACAACTGAGGCCTACATTCAATCGTTTCCCTCCCCACCTCAACTGGCTCCTTTTCTCTCCAAAGTTTTCCTAAAATTTTGTATCATTAACAAGAACTGAATTAACAAGTTAAAAAAATGCATGTTTGTTTGGTTTGTTTTGTTTGTTTTTCTTTGAGACAAATTCTATGAAAATATTTTCCAACATTTTCACAGGTATGTTTTTTAGTAAGCACTGCAAATGGAAACAGAAGTGTCAGTAAACTATGAAAATGGCTGTATTTATGCTATATCTATGTTAAACCAATGCCAAAAGATCTCTAGTCCCGGTTTTACAGACTCAAAGATTGAACGAAGTTTCAGTAACTTCATTTGTTCAACAACAATAACATCTACACAGAAATAATAGAAGAATAATTTACAAAACTTACCTCAGACCTGCGCCCTCTATTGACATATGTACATACTGGGCTGAAGGCACCACTGCCACATACATACAGATGTGTGCGATTGAAGGTCTGAATCACGCGCACAAAATTTCCGCAGCCATGCTGTTGGGGGAGAAAAAGATTTACTAAACATTCAGACAACTCTTGTTAGATGTTGAATGTGCTAAGGGTTATGAATAGCTGGTAGTGTTCAACTTATTTGTTAAAATATGCTTGTTGTAGTTAGTCACGTTGATTAACATGAAGTCTCTCATTTTATCTTTGTAATTCCTTGTACTAAGCCAAAGCCTTGATCTCTTCCTAGGATTTTCCAGCAAGAGCTTCATACAAAGGTTCTTGGTGGGCACTAGAGGAGGGACACAGTGCTCTTGTTCTCACCTGAGGATTGTCATAGCTTCTATGGACAGGGCATTTTAGCTAGCAGCCTTTTCCCCCAGCCTGGTCTACTCTTAGGATACCCATGACTGGGCCAGGAGAAGCATGCAGTGTGAAGAGACAGAGAAATCTTCCTATGCTGTTTTTCCATAGCTTGTCCCCCTTGCTCAGAGAAACACAACATTTCAACAGTATTTGGGGTTATCCACTTAAGGAACCTGATCATTTACTATATAGGCTTTGGGGTAATTTCATTTGCTCTAGGTAGGAGCCATCCATATGTTGCACGGGAAGAATCAGGCCCCTTTGAGAAGCAGCCATTTACCTTTAGTCTTCAGTGCCTTTAACAAAGTCTCTGAAAAGATGCCTCTTCCCCTTTTACAGATTTTCTCTTAAACACCAGCAATTTTGAGGTGGTGGTGGTGGGGGGGGAACGGTTCCTGCAGGCCATATAATTTCTCTAGACAGTTTCCCTCCAAAATATTAAGAGTCTGAGTTGCTCATAACACAAGCAATCTCCCATGGATATGAAATGCTGCCACACACTGAAAACCTGCTCTTCCATTTTCAAAGCAGTGTACACAAAGAAAATGTAAACCAAAGGTCCATATTACTCAGTATTCGCTCCCAATCTCCTCCTAACATGCCCTTCCCCTCAATCTTCCTTTCTTGACACTGATCAGCTGCTGCTTCACTTTAGGTTATACACACAGATGTTTCTTCTCCAAAATTTCACTTCTCAGGAGCCTGGCCCTGCCTCCATATTCAACCGCACAATGTCCGCTCAAGTCAGTAAGAGTTGTATGTACGTAATAAGCTCAGTGAAGAAACCTAGGCCATCCATCACTCGCCTTCCAGTCAATGGAGTTAATCCTTCCTCAATAAACTGTACATTTTATTTATCTCTGCAGACATTCGCATTTTCTATTCAATCTATAATGGTGCTGTGGTATGACACCTGTTTATAAAGGCACCTGAAAAGTGGCTATGCAACTGTCGGTAGTTCCACATTAGCAAAAAGATGGTTCCTCATTAAGAAACCTGGGCAGCATAGAAACGTGTTACCTCATCACATTAGATGGGCTATTTTCTGAGTGCCTGGTCAAAAATGCATTATTTTCCTAGAGCTGAGAGTTTTCCTGGAGTCCTTCTTTTTCTCTACAATCAGTAATCACTGTTGTGCTCAAAAACAGCTTTGCTTCAGGGTAATACACTCAAAATCAAAGTCAGCTCCATGCAGGAAATGGTTATTTATCCTTTGGGCAGAGAAAAAGTAAGGGACTAAACAAAGATGTACACCTAGCCCACACATACTGTGTAACCTCAAGCCAGAGGGAAGAATGCTGCTTTTATGTCTGCTCTATGAGGTGACAGGAGGATTTTCTGGCTCAGGTTATAAAATTTGGCTTTGTATCAGTGTTCTTAGATGTTAATGCTTGTCTCACTGGCTGGGGCCAGCAAGATAGACAGAAACTTTCTTTTGATCCCTTGCCCATATCTAACATTTTCCAGTGTTCTGCCACTGAACTCTCTATCGTTTGATAAATGATTAATTTGGCACTTCTTCAGTCCCAACCATACCAAGGCAGGGCACTGTAACTGCACACCTTTAAAAGAAACAGATGAATAAATCAATAATGTTTTGCAATCTAAAGAAATTCACTAGCTTTTATCTTTCTATATCTTATTTGCCCTTTCCTGCTCTTGTGCTCCTTTTTTTAAAAATCGGACTTGTTTGAGATTAGACGATAGCACAAAGACAGCACTAAGTAGGAATGCAAACAATCTGTTTGTCAAGGCTGATAATTGTTCAGCATCATCTCATGTGTTACTGAGCATGTCTCTTGCAGTTCATATCAGTAGTCAGACAATCAGAGTGAAGCTTTGGGACTCTTAATCTCCTTTGACAAGAATTACACTTGACTGTTTTCATCATACACAGCTGATTGTGTGAAGTGCTACATTTTTCTAACATCTCCTTCTACATTTCTCTTTTGATCTTCAGTGTACTCCGCTAAGTGTAAACTTGTTTATCGTTTACTTCCAGTGACATGAGTTTGACTTTTATTCTAATATACCTGACAGAATAGTTTTAATCATCAGTCTTAATTCTTCCTCCACTCCTACCAGATCATTAGCATTTAAATCATAACACAGGCTACTAAAATTGAATTATACATTGCAAATAGTAGTATTGTTTTTTCCCCATTGCTTTTGATGATTGATTTTTAGAATAAACCCATCACTAACTTCAACAGAATGAAGATCTAGCCCTTTAAATTGTTTTATTTAGCATTGAAGACTTATTAACCCATAAGGATACATACTGTTAGGGTCAATGTTTCTAACTGTTCTGACAGATTCACAGAAGTTTAGGGCTGGAAGGGACCTCGTGAAATCATTGGGTCCAGCCCCTCTGCTCTAGGCAGAAAAGACTGCTGGGGTCAAATAATGCCAGGATGGTGTGCATCCAGTCTCCCTTTGAAGATCTCCAGGAAAGGTGCCTGCACCACCCCACTGGAAGTCTATTCCAGTATCTGGTCACACAAACCATAAAGAAGTTTTTCCTTATAGTCAGTCTGAACCCTTCTTCTAGGAGTTTATGACTTCCTTCCGGTTTTCTCCTGCAGTGCTTTGGTGAATAGTTGTTTGCCTAGCCCCTGATGCTCTCCCCTGAAATATTTGTAAGCTGCCACCAAATCCCCCTGAAGTCTTCTCTTTTCTAGGCTGAACAGTCCCATATCTGTCAGCCTTTCCTCATATGGCTTGCTCTTCAGGCCTCTAACCACATGGGTAGCTCTTCTCTGGACTCTCTCAAGCTTCTCCACATCCTTCTTGAAGTGTGGTGCCCAGAGCTGGACACAGCGCTCCGATTGAGTTAAGTTTCTATTCTTGTACCTGTTATTTTTTATGTACCCTGAACTTCAGGCACAAAAAAGCAGCTGAAATTTTATCTGGGTGCAAATGGAAGCCTTAAAGTATTTAGCTACAAGATTGAACCCCTAATTAAATACATCAACAAGTATTTTTAGGTGTAAAAAAGTGGCTATGCTTAGAAATGTGGCCCTCAATGATAAAGCACCTCAAGATGTTGCTGCTGATGAAATGCTATAGAAGTTTCATTCTTGAGAAATCAAATTTAAAGAAGCTTCTTGAGGAATAGGGCAGGGAGATATTTATTAGGGTCCCCTCCCTCTTCCCCTTTAATACAGCACATATTTTAGATATTGCCACTTGGCCAAAGCTCCCATGTTCAGATGTATTCTTGCTACAAAACGAACAAGCAAACAAACACCAACAACAGTCACTGTATATTTGGAGGCCTGAATAAGACAGATGGGATTTCTATATTAAAAACTACAGCAAAACCCAGCACTTAAACCATCTCATAACTCTCAGTTCAAATGTGATCACCTACTACTCTCCATGCTGTATTTTCTATGTTTCCTACAATTTAACAAACTGCTAGATCCAGGTTCTTACATGCTGTAGTACTAATGATATCAAGAAGTATTCTGTCATAGTTGGCTATACAGAGTCCTTAAGAAAATCCACATTTTTCATTGTGATAATTATCTGGAAAGGGAACTCGAATATGCTGCCATAACAACCTTAATTTAATTATTTTTAAAGAATCATTCTATTGTCATGGAGCACTAGATTAAATTATTTTCCAAGGTTTTATAGCAAAGGCTACATTATGCTTCAGCAGTCAAACATTGTTCCTTTTTGGTAAATCAAAATTACATTGAATGAGAGTAGATGTAGGAAAGACATAAATCTACTGTAATATGGATTTAGTTGACTTATTGTAATATGAAAGTACCTGAAACTAGAATTTCATGTCACTAGCCATGGATAACTGACTTGAAGAAATGGCCAGTTAATAAAATCAAATCACTGGGTCTGCTCCAGATCTCTTTGAAACAAAGGGGAGTTGTATTACTTCATGAATGGATCATGCTCATTATTTCCAAAAGCATATTATGCTCATGGTTACATGTCCAGGTATGATCCTGAATGTACACAAGCATGATGGCATGACTTGAAGACTGGAAAGGCTCCCTTTGATTTCACTTATCTTTGGATCAAAACCAGAATGAAAAGAAAAAATGACTAGCTTTCTCTGAAAGAGGGCTATTGAGAAAATTATAATGTTTCAGATTAGCAACTTTAATGATTAAACATCTTTTTTGTGGGAAAACAATTGAATCTGAAGACATGATATAATGGAAAACTGGATCATTTCATATTAAAAGAGGTAAAAGGTATGGTGCTGCTCCATTGACTAACATTGATAAGAATAATAAATGTTTTTTACAAGTAAATACTCTATTTTTTACCACTTAAAATTTGTACTACTGTATGACAAGTGCAAGTTTATATAGACCTTGGTATCTGACCTTGTAATTCGATCATTCTGGGAGGCATCTCTATCCAAACACTTCCCTACTGAAGCCAGGATCTGCACACACCTGACTGCAGAACTTCTGCCTTAGTTTACAACGGCTAAATATGGAACCGATGTAAGACCTATACATCATTGGTTTTAATTTACACATGGAATTATAGCGGCAAAGTTCAAACAGTCATAAAGCCTGAGGATGAATTGATTCAGTCTTTGCAGGTTAATCTAAGCTGCAAAGATTGAATCAATAAGAAAATGAACAAACATTCACTTTTGATTCAGGAAATGCGGTTGCATGCCTCCAGTAGCTTAAGCAAGAAGATGGGGAGGGGGGTGCTAGAGCATGGTTCTCTGGCAGGGCAGCTCTGTACTTGGGGGAAGGGAAGTTTAACCCTGTCCCTGACCCCAGGCCCTTGGGTGGGGTTTGCCTGGTGGGGCAGTGAGCCAGCCCTCACTGCTCCAGCTAGGAAGCAGAGGGGTGGGGCCAGCCCTGCTCTCTGGAGCAAACAGCATAGCCCAGCCCATCACTGCAAAGCACGCTGGGATACTGGGGGACTGTGATTTAATTTGAACCAGGAAGGGGACAGAAGTGTCATAAACTGGTTTGACCTAAATCAGTTAAGTCTGTTAATATATTCAACCGGGTTTATCTTAAACCAGTTTCAGCCATTTTGAAACTGGTTTATGTGCACTGAATATCTATTCTGTTACTAGTTTAAACCAGTTTCTGATCACTTAAACCAGTTTATGTGTAGCTTCTGTCCCTAGCCAGTGTGTCACATTTACCTGTTTTAATGAAATAATGTTAATTCTCAGATATCTGCACAATTTTTTTACAGAAATCATAAAGGAAGTTTTATGGCCAATGTTGTGTGTGGCTGGAAAATGAGGATAATCACTACCAGTTTGCAAATAATCTTTCAAAGAGAAGACCATATACTGACAGCTGGTCCAGACACTTCAATGATCATTAGTTTAGCAGTCCACAATATGCTCCTGAACAGACATATCCACTATTAATGAAATCCATCACTAAAAACATAAATCATAGATCAAGTAGTCAGAATAAGCAGTACATTTTTTCCAATTGTCTCACACTGAACAATATACCATGCAAATATCCTTATTTTTGAAAATTTCACTTTATCAAATTTTGCCTGAGGAACATTTAAAAAGAAAAACAAACACCCCTTGGATATTGTTTTTGGCTGTTCTCAAGGTGTTCTGACTTAATTGCCAAATATCTAATTGTTGTGAATGGTTGTATTTAACTTACTGTAGGATCTTTGCCAGCCATTTTGCACTCTTCAACTTTGTTTGCTGATGCTGGCCAGAAAATCTGTTTGGAAAATAAAATAAAATAAGATTAGTTTCATAGTTTCATAGTTGGTAGGGTTGGAAGGTACCTGAGCAGATCATCAAGTCCGACCCCCTGCCATGGCAGAAAAGAGTACTGGGGTCAAATGACCCCAGCAAGGTGATTGTCTAGCCTTGTCTTAAAGAACCCCAGGGTAGGAGCAAGCACCACTTCTCTTGGAAGTTGGTTCCAGATCCTAGCTGCCCTGACAGTGAAGTAGCACCTCTTGATGTCTAGTCTGAATCTACCCTCTGCCAGCTTGTGACCGTTGTTTCTA